TTTACCGAATGAAAATATTTTTTTGTCAAATTATGCTACTTTTCGGCAACCATAGTCCATGGCCGCGCGGTTAATGATCCGTCTTGCCAAAATACGAACCATGACCCAAAACTCGGCTCATGGCTCGTGTACGACGACCTGATTGAGCATGCAGGCCTCGCAGGCCAGCCACTTGAGGTTGGACACGTGCCGAACTGCGTTATGGTAGAGGTAATTAACCAATCAGGAGCGTGTATTTTCTTGCAAGTCGATTTGGAAGGAATGGTCAGTCGAGGGATGAAGAGGATTTCTTGAGGTAGTTTTCTCGGTATTCACGGGTTAAGTGATCCAGTTGCTTAACGGAAAAGAAAGGTAAGGGTCTAAAGATTTAATTTTTCGCTTTTTTCGACCATTTTGTCGAATTTTCCTGCCACTATTGGGATTCAATTGTAGGAGAGTCCAAAATGGCGGATCTTGGTCACGATTTATGGTGTGCATAATCAACCACTTCTTGCTCTGAAACAAGGGAGTTTTAAACCAAGAAAAACGTACCATCGTATTCTAGAGTAGATACAGTTTGTTTCCAGGGCGTCGAGGCCCATCGCACCTCTTACCGTTTTCTCGCTATATTCGTCTAAAGTTTGACATTTTTTTGGCGGTAAACCAGACAGCACTATCGTCAAACACTAAGGGAAACCTAGTTGTTTTCGGGGTATTTGTTTCTTTTTAACTCGATATATATTTTTGCAGCTCCAAGATTACATTGATGTTATTATTTTTACGTCTGGTGCCTAGTAGATTACTGTATTTTTACAGATTAATGTTACTCAACGAGGCTTTTGACCTTGAATTATTGAAGATCAATAGCCTTCTTGAAATTTATGTTGCATCATTTATCTAGGCATAGCTCAATATTTCTTTACAATTGTTGTTCTCAACAGAGATCAGAGTTTACACAATTGATTTCCTTGTGGACATTAATAACTGGTGTTTTAACCAGGAGCTGTGGAATGAAAAGAGATAGTCCATCTTCAATGTCTATACCATGTTGTAGCTTTGTGTGTGCTTGATGAGTTTTCCTTTATGAGGAGAAAAGTTCTAGTATCAAATTTACTTTCATGTTTTGGAAACATGTTCTCCAAAATGTTATAATTTTAGCATATGGTTGTTTACTGATGCATTTCTTGACTACCAGTTTTAGACTGTAATATAATGTTGAAAATAAAGTAATTTCAGTTAAAGATATTGCTTTGTATTGTTTTGTTTCTGTAATGTACAGCTATTTGTTTGTTGTCATCTGTTTTGCTTATGTGCATGTGTTATGTACCTTTCTCATATTAGTGCAAGGCCCAGTGCAAAATCATCACTTTTGTTGTTGTCCAGAATCGCTGAATGATTATTGATGTTTTCTGAAAGGACAGCCAAATTTGTCAAGGCAATTGAGGCCCAAGATAAACCCTAAATAAAAGTCAACTCAAGGTTTTTTTTCAAATACTGTGTAAATCTTACAACTTTTTATCATTGTTATGGTAACTATTTGGTCCTGAGTCTATAAACTTTATGGCATTAAACAAAGACAATGTGAAACCAGTCCACAGTCAATATTGAAACTCTGGATTACAGTGATGTTAAGTTTTCTTTCACAAGGTTATTCTTCGGCTCATCTAGACACAAAAATCAATTTCCAACCCCAATATACAGATAAAGTGGTGGGATAGCTTGTTCCAATAACTGTCTTTTTTATACTAAGAATGAACTGAAGTGTAAATGGGCCTTGAATGTGAGCATGATAATCACTGTTTTGTTGTAAAATTATTATTTGGTGCCCTATTCTCTCCAAGGACGGACCAGGATTTTCGTTTCAAAGCAACTGACCATTTCAGAACTTTGGTGTGATAAGGTTGCATAGACTCAATTGTTATAATGTAATGTTTTTTAGCTACTGAAAGATGTATAATTTCAGTGCACCGGTAATTATAACATTTTTTTTTGCTACTGAAAGATGTATAATTTCAGTGCACCGATAATTGGGTACATGTAGTGATACACTAGTAGGCAACCATTCCTTGTGACAAACCATAATACCCTCATCATTTATGAAAATATCTTCTGCTCATAATATATCAAGGACCACCCTTTGGGATGCCTACATGTCCTAGCTAGAGTGTGTTTGTCATCAAATTGACCTTTCTCTCTCACACATTGTGAACTAACCAGCTATGATATTGGAATTTTGTGAAAATATTGCCACAAAATTTTAAATAATTCGTAACAGTTAGAGGTAAAGCCTGGTTTTTCAATTAATTGAGCACTTCTCTTCTGATGACCTGTTTAACAGGTATTTTTGCAAAGTGTTCCAAATCATGCGAGATTTTCACCCCATTGACCAGTTATGAGAGAGGAGTACAGACAATTTTTTGGTAGTACAGTAAGGTAGTGCACTATAATCTCAGTTTATGATACATAGATGACATACGTTGACACAGTGTACAAAAAGTCTGACAAATTCCGATTAAATAAACTATATCTCTTCAGTTCACTGTAAAACAATAAAGTACAATTTTCGAGCCATAAGCAAAAATGTAAACAATAAAACGCAGTCAGAAGAAATTGCATTCAAGTTTTCGTATGCTGAATATATTATTGGCTGAGAAGTGTAAAGCTGCAGTACTCGAGAGAACAATTATTCAAGTACCGATATAAGATGTTACAAAGTGGCAGGATATATGGAGGAAATAGATGCAAATATCCATCTGTGTGTGTAGTATTGATTGATCGATCTCACGTGGACTCATCTTCACTCTGGGACTCAATCGTAAAAAACCCCCACGTTTTCAGTCTTGATCGATCATCATGTGTAGGTAGGGTAATCCAAGGAGTTGAGGAGCAGAATAACTTTCAATGTTCAGCATTTACACTGAAAAGACGAAAGAAATTCAGCTTTTAACAGATCTTCGGTCGCCTCTCCAGAGATCCGAACAGCATGCATGGGAGAACGTGTAAACTAAATTGTCAGTTACTCGACAAGAATCAAGCGGTTCAATACACTGGAGCGGAGAAAGTTACGTCAGTTGGTAGAAGTAGAACTTAATGGTGTGGGTCAAGGAGAAAGAGATATCTCGGACTCGGCGAGGGATTAACCTAAACCACAATCTTTGTGTATCAAGAACTACGGTCATTTCACTCCATGATCGTGCATGATTAGATCGCTCCGCGTTGAATAGAAGCAAACTGACTTGGAGCGATCTAACCATGGAGCGAACCGACCGGTTACCAAGTTCACGATCTGCGTCAAATTTGAATTCATGATCGGTCTAAGAAGTTCTTTCAGTCTATTTTCCTTCATCCCAGTATCAGTGCTGGAATATTATGTGGGGAAAAATTTTACTCCGGTTACCTAACTTATGAAAACATTGAAGAGAAGAACAATAGAGGCGAGATCTCGGAATCCGTGTCGCAGTGTCATCTCATTGGTGGGAATCATATGCAGAGGCCCTTAATCTCAGATACCTTGACATTAGCAAAGCAAACGCCTTGCAAGGTCAGCAATAAAACCCTTGCTAACCATGGTCAACCATGAACATCGGATTTTATCAGCATTATTTGTTTTCTAATGACTGGACCAGATAGATTCTACTTTTTGACTTCGTCCGCAAAGCAGGCTTTTTATCCGCGAAAACTTAATAATAATACTTTATTCAAATACAGAATACAAAGAGTATTTGAAAAGGAGGACCATGAGGTTGTCCCTATTTAGGTCCCCTAACTAAAATTACAATCTAAAATTTAAAATTTTAAAATATCTATTACGTAAATAATTAACAATTTAACATTTAAAAAATTTGAAATATCCACTAAGTAAATAATTGACAATCAAAATTTAAAGATTTGAAATATCTATTATGTAAATAATTAACAGTCCAAAATTTAAAATCTAAAATATCCATGATATCTATAATATCAGGTACTGTTTAATTTAATTTGAATTAAGTTTAATTTAGCTTAATTTAAATTAGTTTAATTTAATATCGTTTAGTGTTAATAATAAAAAACGGCAACAACAGGACAAATCACTGTGGCACATTTAATAACACTAGTGGTTGTGACTCGACATAAGCACGACATTGAAAGAAGTTCCCATTATAGTCAGTCTTAAAAACTTCAGTTTACCCACATTGACCTGTCCAATTAATACATCACTGACTTTAACTCGAGTCTAAGACCACTTAATTTATTAAACTCGAGTAACAATAAATTATAAATGCTGACTTTCCAATCATAATATTATAATATATGTAAAACGGCACCATGCAGTCCATGCTAAATTGCAAATCTAAATTTGAAAAACTACTCACTCTTCAGCAATTGTGGTTTTGCAGCCAATAGAGTTCACACTGTCCAAGTTTGCACCCAACTTTCCAAGTTCACACTGAGATGTACAGTGAGTTCACCGCATTATTCACTCTGGGATTCCCACTTAAAGAACCAGAAATTGTGTTTTTGCACTCATGGGTAGTAGGCTGGAGTGTAGTAGGCTGGAGTGTAGTAGGCTTCATTACAATCTCTTGAAATTTGTTTTCTCAAAACTTAAGGCTTATTTCAAGATACACTGAGACAGAGTTTGGAGTGAAGTCAGTGAACCTTGCGAAAAAGTGTGGTGCGAGCTCCGACAGTGAGAACTTTACTAGGTGTAAAGCTTTGTGCTACCCTATTCAGAAAAGGGCACATACATATACATAGCTTAATGAAAACACATCAAAACACACAAAAACGAAAATATATTAAATTCTATTGTCACAAGCTGAAACAAAGAAAAACAATCTGAGTCTCGAAAACACAATCTTCCATGCACCAGGTGGATACTCTGACCACTGAGCCACAGAAGGACTCTGGTGAGCTGCATCAAAAGATAGT